GCAAACAATTGTAAGCATCACAGTTTAATACTTTTTTCATGTTTCAGAGGTAAAATATCACAAATCGACCGTTTGATCATAAGTGATAACAGTTTAGGTTGTTTAAAATAAAGTGTAAAATTTACAGATTAAAGTGTAAAATTTACACTTTTAAGTGTAAAATTTACAGATTAAAGTGTAAAATTTACACTTTAAAGTGTAAATTGACAGATTAAAGTGTAAATTTTACAGATTAAAGTGTAAAATTTACACTTTAAAGTGAAAAATTTACAGATTAAGTATAAAATTTACAGATTAAAGTGTAAAATTTACAGATTAAAGGGTAAAATTTACACTTTAATGTGTAAAATTTACAGATTAAAGTATAAAATTTACAGATTAAAGTGTAAAATTTACAGATTAAAGTGTAAAATTTACAGATTAAAGTGTAAAATTTACAGATTAAAGTGTAAATTTTACAGATTAAAGTGTAAAATTTACAGATTAAAGTGTAAAATTAACAGATTAAAGTGTAAATTTTACAGATTAAAGTGTAAAATTTACAGATTAAAGTGTAAATTTTACAGATTAAAGTGTAAAATTTACAGATTAAAGTGTAAAATTTACAGATTAAAGTGTAAATTTTACAGATAAAAGGGTAAATTTTACACTTTAAAGTGAAACATTTACAGATTAAAGTATAAAATTTACAGATTAAAGTGTAAAATTTACAGATTAAAGTGTAAAATTTACAGATTAAAGTGTAAAATTTACAGAATAAAGTGTAAATTTTACAGATTAAAGTGTAAAATTTACAGATTAAAGTGTAAAATTTACAGATTAAAGTGTAAATTTTACAGATTAAAGTGTAAAATTTACAGATTAAAGTGTAAATTTTACAGATTAAAGTGTAAAATTTACAGATTAAAGTGTAAAATTTACAGATTAAAGTGTAAATTTTACAGATAAAAGGGTAAATTTTACACTTTAAAGTGAAAAATTTACAGATTAAAGTATAAAATTTACAGATTAAAGTGTAAAATTTACAGATTAAAGTGTAAAATTTACACTTTAATGTGTAAAATTTACAGATTAAAGTATAAAATTTACAGATTAAAGTGTAAAATTTACAGATTAAAGTGTAAATTTTACAGATTAAAGTGTAAAATTTACAGATTAAAGTGTAAATTTCACAGAATAAAGTGTAAAATTTACAGATTAAAGTGTAAAATTTACAGATTAAAGTGTAAATTTTACAGATAAAAGGGTAAATTTTACAGATTAAAGTGTAAAATTTACAGATTAAAGTGTACAAATAAAAAAAAAGTGAAGTGTGTAAGTGGCACTAATTCACTTCCGTAGTTTAGATTTCGACAACTTTTAAATGTTCCACTTATAATAAAGTCAAAAATACTATTCACTTCATTTTATCCAAAACACTATCGATTAACGGTGAATAGTTCAAAATTCACAGGATATAAATACATTATATAATGAAAAGGACAAAGTATTCTAACCTTTTAAGTGCAAAGCAGTGTTTGTTCTTTTAAAGTCCAACGAATGATTTCAGACTTTTATTTCCTTATTTTTAATTATGCAGAATAAATTAATTATCAATGTTCTGCATTATGACAAAAGATACTTTAAAAGAGTAAATCTTGAAAACTTAGTTATGTATAATATACTACAAATAATAATTTGATATTCAATATATTGATCTATAATTTTCCGTCAGTCGGCGTAAGTTAAAACCATTTATAAAGACTGGTTTTGAAGAGACAAAAGCTAAAATCATTTTGCTTGTCAAGCAATTTATTTGTTAGTTACATCACAAAAATTTATTTTTTAAATAATTATTCAGTTGTCAGCATCTATACCTTAAATAATTTTGATTTTACCTTTGTTATCAGGGTAATACAAACAGGTTCATAGTTATTATCTTACAAAATACAAATGATCTGTGTGCATGCGACAGTACTAGTGCGAAGACGAGATGAAGGGCTTAACTTAATTGTTCAACTAAATACAAGTTTTAATATTATTGCTTTATATTTCAGAACAGTAATTGAAGCAGCCGTTGCTGGATAAATACAGATACCCCTCTAGACTCCTATCAAAAGTATATAGTGTTCGAAGTTCAAGAAAGACTTGTTGATTAAACAGATTTAATCCAGAAAGATAAAATTTTCTGATTATCACGAAAAAAAATTATTTTCTAATCTAAAATGTCAAAATCTCAAAATCCATCAATTATCTTAGCCCTCATTTATTTTTGATTTGATTGTGTTTACGTTCAGTCAATGTGAGACTGATTTGTACATGCATTTCAGCTGACGTTTGATTGGTTTAATTTAACATTACTATTGATATGTTTTCGTTTTGTTGTTTTTGATTTGCTTTTTCCTAATGATTGTTTCTTTTTTGATATAAAAGTTGTAGATGTCGATGTAATAACGTTTGCTTTAACGATACAGGTACATGTACACTTGTATATCGTTTAACTTCCTTAATTGTTGTTTTAAGTCGGTAGTTATCTTATCTAAAAACGTTATAAATGTCACAATGATATGTTTTGTCGAATTGTACTCAAACTTCTCATATCTAAAAACAGCTTCTGTTTTAAGCTCAAAATCAAAGAAATATCATAAATGAACTATAATAAGATATAAGGTAAAAATCTATATAGAGAACAGGTGAGGTAAATATCTTTATAGAACGTTATGAATGTCACACTGATATGTCTAGTGGAATTTAAATACCGATAAAGCAATCTATAGATATATGTACTTATTCATCTTCCTAAGTCTAAAAAGCTGCTTTAAGTAATACTGTGGATGTACAGTAACAAGATATAAATTTAAAACTATAAGATTGAAACTTAGAAACGTGAATGTTGCTGTTCTCATGATTCACAGTGCAGATTAAAAAAATAAGATTAATTTGTATCTTTATTTTTCAATTTTTAGACTACCTACACTTATTCATAGAAATAGAATAAACATAAAATTTTCAATAATTCTTTTTATAACTTTAAATTAACAAGTCTCAATTTAGGTACACAGAAGGATAACTCTTCAATTTATAATTCAATTCAAAATGTAGATTTAAAAAATTTAATGAATTTAAGTTTTACTTAAAATATTTTATGTACATTGGAATGCTCTGCGTGTAAGAGTTATCGCGCTTTCCATATCGTTGGAAAGTTTTTACCGTGTCCAAATAAAGAGAGGCAGATGCAAGCGATTCTTCGAAATGAAAACCTTTAGTAAACGCCCAATGAAAATCGTGCGCGGTAAAAATCGGGACCTAGTCGTCCAGATAGCGTCGCTTTTCAGTTTCTTTTAGGACGCTGTGAAAAGTACATGTGTGTTGGATAGCTTCAGATTATTTTAAGCCGCCTCCACACCTCCACCTTTTCCTTTTTTTCCTTCTTGTTGTCCAGTTTTGTCTATCTTCTTTTCTTGGTTTTTAATGTGTTTTTAGTCGTTTTTGGCGGTTTCAGACCATAAGAACGTTTGATATATTATGTAATCAATTACGTCATATATTATGTAATCACGGTTTACATATTAATCATATTCATAATTCGGTTTCATTCTGTTGTAAATTTTTGATACGGATAAAAAGTTGTTTATTGATAATTTTATGGATTTCAAGATCAATTATTTCATAATTAATTACAAGTATGTTCTCTAATTAAAGTAACGTTAGTGACAAAGTGTAACATACCTAAATGTATTGTTGTTTATGACAATGGAGAGTGAAGGCGGTTTCTTGAAATACTGCGATAGTGCAATAAATGTGAGTTGGAATTACAATAGTACACGAAAATGTTAATAAACGAGAAGTTCCATAAATTAGTTATTATGTCAAAATAAATTGGCATTGGCAATTGTACATAAATCTTATCATGCAACAATTATCATATTATAACTCTAAATGTGCTTCAAGGTTCTTTGAGGTTCTTTTAAGGACATTTTTGTAAGCATTTTCAATTAGTCAATGCCTGATTTTCAGGCTCTAAGGATCGGAGTACATTAAGCTATTTCTTTATTGAATGGCTAACATTCTGCCTAAATTTAAAAAGGTGCTTCATAATCAATGGGCAAGATACCCAATACATTTCTCATACATTCGCGAAAATAGATTAATTTATCACTACAGAAATTCTAAGCTTGACTGTTTTCACTTAAATAAAGTAATATAGACTCAGTATTTAAATTTCTAGAATTTCCTTTTTGCATCAAACTACAAGGATGACATAAAGCATTTGTATCGTATGTTTTAATTGTGCAATCTTAATGTTTATATAAATAAATATTCGAATTAATGATCGATCAGAAGAAAAAATCCTTTCATTATATAATCTATAAAGCCCCGCCCTAGCACTAGAATCCCTGATCCTGGGGCCATGAATTTTACAATTTTGGTAGAGGATTCAATGCCCATCACTTTCATACCAACAGTTTGACTGCTTGATTTCTCGAAGTAAAGAAAGTGATTTTTTAAGATTTCATCAATTTTAGTGGTTTGGCCCCAACCCTTAGGCCCAGGGTGTGGGGACCATAAAATTCACAATTTTTGTTCCCCATCACCCAGAGATGCTGTAAACGAAATTTGGTTATATTGATTCAGTGGTTTTAGAAAGAAATGACTCAGGTGACCTAATTCTGATTAATGAAAATGACACATTCCCTGTGGAACTATATTTTGTTCTAAAATTTGCATCTATAACAAAGTATGTTCAAAACACTCGGAGTTCCTCGGATGGTCGTACCTTGCACATAACCTCGGACGTCAAAGGTGTTCTAACACCCTGCTGAGTCAGTCATGTGATTTTTTTTAAAATTACATTCAAATTTTATACTTTTGAGATCCGAGTTACTTTGTTGCATATTCAACACCGTGTTCTTGCTTTCAAAGACTACTAACATATGATTGTAGTTAATATGAGGAATTACGCAAATAAAGAAACCTTTTCGAAGAAATGGTATACACTGTAATTGTGCAATATCTTGGTAGATAATGATTTTGTTAAGAATTGTTACATATTTATAACAGAACTACAAAGCTTAACTCCGTGTGAAGTTCTAAATAAAATGTTCAGTGTTAAGAAAAACAAGAAAAAGAATCCCACAAGTCCTAAGGCACACAACAAACCCCAACTTGTTTCAGTACCGTTGTCACCTATTTCAATTTCTAATTTGTCCCGTGCATTTGCATTCTCCAGAGAGATATTTGCAGATGTTTTGACGTTGTGTTGTACTGCAGAATAATTCTGAGGTGATGTCGAATACTCTCCCAATGTATCTAAAAATTATATTTAAGAGATAATGTATCATTTTTAAAGCTTTAGGGGGATGTAAACACTAGTGGGTCACTTGATCAAAGCACTTTAAATCTAGGGGTTAAATGGTGGATATGCCGATCCGTATTTACGTCCCAATAAAACTTTTAAAATGAAACATATGTTCTTTATTACTTATATCTATATTTGTCATTGATTTATTACAAGTACTTAAATACTTAAGTTATAAACCCATAAAATGATTAAATTGATAACGTTGAACATGTCGGTCACTATTGATGTTAATATAAATTACGTAGATCGTTTGTGACTAAACAATCAATAGTCACATGACGAGCTTATCAAGTTTTACACAGGTGTCAAAATACTTTGCTCAAAAAGTGTTATACAAGGGAAAACATGCAAATTCAAATATTTAAGATGACCAGAATATTAAAACAAAGTAAATATCACCAAATTCAGTATTACGTTTTTCATTTACCATTGCAGCCATAACTGAAGTTACAGAAAATTTCAGAACAGTTACAAAGTTGCCTGCATTGTATCCCATAGGACGGATATGGACACTTTATCTCGCATGACAGGCCTGTAAATCCCGTCTCACATTCTGAAAGAGGAATCTTCATATGGCATTTTATACACAAAAAAAACATGTTAATGAAAACAAAATTTTAAATAGGCAAAAATGCAATGCAACATTTATATATTTAATAATGTAACTTTATATCTTTTGAAGCATCAAAAAGTAGGTTCTGATCATAATATCATTATTTTGCAGCCCGTGGGGATCCGGGTTAGAATAGGTCCTCAGTACCCCCTTGCTTGTCGTAAAAGGCGACTAAATGGGGCGGTCCTTCGGATGAGACCGTATAAACCGAGGCCCCGTGTCACAGCAGGTGTGGCATGATAAAGATCCCTCCCTGCTCAATGGCCCTGAGTGCCGAGCATAGGCCCAAATTTGCAGCCCTTCACCGGCAATGGTGACGTCTCCATATCAGTGAAATATTCTGGAGAGGGACGTTAAACAGTATACAATCAATCAATCATTATTTTGCAATTATCAAATTATATTATCTAGCTAATTTGTCGCATTTTCTCCTTTTTTCTACTAAATTAAAAAAAAACAACCTTACGAAAATAATTCTATAAGACTTATTTTACATAAACTATAGACAATATTGAAGACTTACCAGCACATTCACCTTTCTCCGGCTTGAAACCAGTTAAGCAATCCCTCCCAAATCTTTAAAAATAAATTAAAAATAAATGCATCTATACTGTGAAACGAAGTACGTGCAGGAATGAAGTAGACTTACAAAAATACAAACCCAAACTTTTTAGACTTGCTTTTTCCTATTTGAAATCCCCCAGCTAATAGGAACATCATCCATTCTATGAGCTTCATTTATAGAAGGAGAATTAAAAACAATATTCTAGATATCTAATAATATAAAGTGTATGATATATTGGTAAATATTCTGAAAATGACAATTTCCAATAAAACGCTCGATACGTATAAATATTATCGTACTCAAAGTCCATCAAATATTTCCGTATTTTTCATTTCACATCCTGCCATCACCGCTTGCATTGACCTAATAGATCGTTAATCATTTAAATTAACATGACATCAATATCAATTAAATCTTACTTCAATAAAATGTATTTATGTTAAAATTATATTTTGTTTGATGTAAGTTTCTTATTATCCATCTAAACGTAGGAAAATATTGAAATAATAAATAAATGTTTCTTTTTAATGTATTATTTATTTTTAATGGTGTAAATTGATTATGCTGAACATGTCGGTCAATATTGACGTCAATATTAAGTATAGTAGATCGTTTGTGACTGAACAATCAATGGTCATTTGACGGACTTATCAAGTTTTACACAGGAATCAAAACTCTTGGCTCAAAAAGTGCTAAACAAGGACGGAGGTATGTTAAGATTACAACCAATTTTCTATTTGCCTATATGATATGACGTCATAGTAAGCTATATGACGTGAAGTTTAGAGATAAGAATTTCTTAAGGTCAAGATCTAGTAAATGAAAGGTGCTTACAGATTTATCAAACTTGAAAAATAAATTCCTTTATTGATGCTTTATAACTTTAGCTTGGTCAAATAAGGTGTTTCGGGGCATAATTTGTAGGTAAACAAGATAAAAAAAACTGTATTTTAATCTGTCATTTTCAATGAAAACTTAAGAAAACCAGTCATGAATATGGGAGTTTTTTTCGTATTCGGCAAAGGAAATGTATCCAGATTGCCTACAGTCTCTTAGAAAACGGTAATTAGTATATTCATAGCCTCTTCTTTAAATCAATATCAAATTTAATATAGGTATCCGGTTTACTTTTTATATGATTTCAAATTGAATGACATGAAAATACCCTATTTTCTACATAAGTCTGCTAAAGCCAAAAGTACGGGAAGAAGAAAGTTGAAATTGATTATGACGTCATAATAGATCTAGCACCAAAATATTAATTTCAAGTTATTGACTAAATCTTGACCTTAAAATTGATAGCTAAGATTGATTTGAGGTCGTAAAAATAAAGCAAAATATGTGAACCAAATTATAAATGGAATTTTTGGTCGTTTCTGGATCTCTGTATTTATCACAATGTTAAATACCAAACCCGTGACGTTATAACTGTTGATCATGTAGTAGCAGAGTGACAGTGAAACATAACAAGAATTTATGTAAACAAACACAAGAAATCGGAGTTTTAAAGCATTTAGAATGAATATCATGTGTGATTCATGTGGGAATAAAGTCTAGGAATAAGGTATGCTCATATATTTCTATTTCTTTGTAAAATAAAAGCAGACAGGGTGTCTACTTACCGATCAGCCTTTCCTTTGTCGTTCGTAAGAAAAAGATGAAAAAGTTCAACACTACGCCGCACTCTTTGAAACTTTTTTTTCTATCTAAAGTTCTCAGTCTATTGATTTTGGAAAGTGTTGCAAGAATCGTATGTTAATGGGAATTGATGCAATTTTTTCGATGTTATGAACAAAATGTAAATATTTTGGGAAGGTTTCGTCCGAAAGTGTTAAAAGTGTTGAATTATCATTTCTGTGATGGGACAGTAGGATTCTAGCAGCGCTTTTTCATGGCACAGAGATGTTTTTACATAACTATTATTACAAATTGAAATTAATTATCCCCGGGGTAGTGTTAAACTTTTCACTTTTTCATTAAGGCATTTTTTCTAATTATAGACGTCACGTGGTGACGTCGTGATGAAGTGCTTCTTGTAGTAGAAGTCCCATTGAAGTCTACAGAATGCATAATGATAGCAGAAGTTTTATCCATGACTTTTCCGATTTATTAGTGTTACATATTATAAAAAAGTTTTAATTCGCCGAATACTGACCTGTGTGCTGTCTTAACTTACCCGGGGAAGAACATATGCAAATGCCAATATTTTAGATGACCCAAAGATTGAGACAAAGTAAATAACACCAAATTCAGTACTACCTTTTTTTTATTTACCATTGCAGCCATAATCGAAGATACAGAATTTTTTTAAAAATAATTCTTGTTCCCTGCTTTCGCGAAAGCGAGGGGACATTAAATCTCATTCGACTGTCTGTCAGTCTGTCTTTCAGTCTGTCGTTTGTCCGTCCGTCCGTCACAAAAACTTTAACCTTTCCCATAGCTTTTGATTTAATGAAGCTATGACTTTCACATTTCACGTGTTTATTCCCTGTGATAAGGCCATTCTTTCGGTACCACCATATTTGACCTTTTGAAATTGACCTTGGCGTATTACCCACTTTTACACAAAAAATTTTAACTTTTATTTTAGCCATATTTTTTTAACAAAATAGATACTAGGACTTTCACATTTCACATTTTTATTATGTTTTCTTTGTGGCAAAACCTCTCATTGGATAGCAACAACTTGACCTTTTGACCTTGAAATGGGAGATTTCCATACTTATGAAAAAAAACTTTAACCTTGCCATAACTTTAAAAAGGTAAATGCTAGGGCTTTCATTCTTCACATATTATGTAATCCTTGTGAGAAGTCCTTTCATTGGTTAACAAGAACTTTGACCTTCTGACCTTGACCTTAGAGATGGGTCCACTTTTTAAAAACTTAAACCTTGGCAATATCTTTATATATTTGATCCTTGTGACAAGACGTTTCATTCGACATCTAGCACGCAGACACTTTTACCTTGGAGTTTCCCATACTTTTTAAAAAACTTAAACATTGGAGATGACTTCTGGAACGGTAAGGGCTATGGCTTTCATACTTCAAATATTTATTCCTTATGACAAGGCTTTTTTATTGGACATCAACGATTTTGACCATGACCTTGGAGTATGACTTACTTTTTCAAAACTTTTACCTTGCCCATAACTTTTGAATTGAAAGGGCTAGGGCTTTCATACTTCACATAAGTAATTCTTGCGAGAAGACCTTTTATTAGAAACAAAAATAATTGACCCTTTAACCTTATAGTTTGACATACTATTTTAAAAATTTGGGTACCAATATATTTAATTTGCAATCAAGAAAAGTTTAATCTTCGCTTTGTTGCCATAAGGGGTCAGCTGTGTTTCACAAACGCATCGTGTTCCTTTTAACTTTTGAATGAGAAGAGATGGGGCTTACATATTTGACATATGTTTTACCTTTGACAAGATATTTCCGAATGTGCTATGATTTCTGACTCCTTGACCTTGGCCTTCACGACTGATCTTGTTTTTCAAAAAAAATCAATGTTGTTGATAATTTCTAAATGACAAATGATAGGCCGTTCATGTTTGCCATCTCACTTACAAAGACACCGAAAGCAGGGGACCACAATTCTTTGAAGTTGCGTGTTATTCATTTTTTGAATCGTCGGTTGTTCATGATAAACACGTCTTATTGCAATCGAAAAAACTGCTACCTAGAGGCATTTTAAATTTCAAATAAATAACAGTTTATCTTCATAGAAGTAATTTCAAGGCATGTATAAGAATTTGTCTATTCAGTATCCTGTAAAATCATGTGTGATATACTGTTTATCCATGAATAAGATCATGCATATTGTTATATAAAATCTTGGCATATATAATATTGGCATAATAACAATTTATTCAAATGCCTGAGTATAACGATATTTATTTATTTGTGCAATCGCATTGCAAATTGTAAAAGTAATTTTCAGAATAATTATTGATGTTAGATTTTATAACTTTTCATATTATATTGTAGGCCATCACCATTTAAATTTTATATATGAAATAAGGAAAGAAAACCACGAAAATAAGGCGTGTTAAGATTTTTAAAAAGTGCATTTAAATTGGATATTTAGTCACAATGAACCTATATATACTGAGTATATCTTACCCTCCATGGACGTGAATGAGAAACTACTCTCACTGAACAGGAAAAACGTGCGCTACCCACGACAAACCTCACATCGTCTTACATAGATTAATATTTAAAACAAATGAAGGTCACAATGGGACTCCTTGCAGGTAAAAAAAAATATGATAAAAACAAGGCCTACCACAGGGAAATATTTATAAAAATCATAAATGTACATCTACAAAATAACTATTGTTATTTTAAAAAATGGAGAAATTGTGTTTGATAAGCTGTAAAAGTTATTCTTACGGGGGAAAAATTGAAAGCGTTTAAAACTAGTACAATTTTAACCAAATACACAGGTGAAGTGTCCTGGGGTACCATTTAACCAACCAAAATGGCATGGAGAAAATGATTCTGGAGGGATAAAAATGGATAATAAACTTGATAATTTCATCTGTTTTCTAAAAACGATAAACGGAAATTATAAAATGAAAAAAAAGTCTGCATCAAATGATGTGAATGGACAATTACCACATATGTACAAAAACTCATTCCTCTCCTGAATGCGAAATTCTAAACATGCTAAAGTATTTATTTAAGAGTAACGCTTTTTGAGGGTCAAAAGATTCCAATTAGGATATAGTTTCAGTCTGTTCCAGATATGAAGACAACATTGGGTACGAATAATTGTAAGCCAAATACACCCAACATTCATTTGGTAACTTGTCGATAAGTTGGTGCAATGTTGGCCCTCAGTTGGAAATGTTGGTATATTGTAGGGCAAACGATGATAACATATCAAGCTAACTGACAACCAACATATATTCAACATTTAAACTGGTCCTATAGGTTGGACCAAATATTGGCCCTGCACTTGTTGGATATTCTCAAACAATTTATTAGTATTTTTTTTTATTTAAAGCTTTTTTAGTCAATTACTGGGTATACATTACACTGTTGGAACAATAGAATAGAGAAATGTTGAAGATTGATGAATTTGCAATGCAAACATTTCTTGCGGTTCTCATTACAAACAGCATTTAAATTATTACATGTAAAATTTT